CCAAAAATCTCTCTAAAATGAAAACAGTCAGACGGGGCCGGCTGGTGGTGTGGTAGTAGGGTGCTGCACTCCCACACGGCTGACCTGGTTCGAGGTCTGGATCCGGCAGCTTGCTTGCTCTTGCTCTCCTCCCTACTCCTCCTCCCTCTCTCTGTCAAGTCACCATCTCTCTGGTGAGCACATGTGCCCTATAGCAAACTTTAAAATAATAATAATATTAGGGACCAGCAGATGGCGTAATGATTAGTCACTGTACTCCCACATAGTTGATGCAGTTTGAGTCCTGGACCAGGCAGCTTAAAACTCCTGCCAGGAGGGACCAGTAGTCAGAGTAATGGCTATGTTGCTGAACTCCCATGTAGTCAACCACAGTTCGAGTCCTGGACCTGGAGGCTTGAACTCATGCTGGGTGTGTGTGTGTGCATGCCCAAGATACCAGGAGGAGAAGGGATTGTGGGCATGGCCATCCCCCCTGGGGAGGGGTGATTTCTTGCTTTCTGTCTCTCGCTCTTTCTGGGGAGCGCACGCACCCTATAGCAAAATCTCTCCAAAAAAAAAAAAAAAGAAAGAAAAGAAAACTCAGGCCAGGAGTGTGTGCATGTAACCCCAAAATCCTGAAAGAAGATGAGAAGGGATTGCAGCATTGCCATCACCCCTGGGGGGTGATTTTTGTTTTCTGTCTCTCTAGTGAGCTCATAACTATAGCAAAAACCTCTCTTCAAAAAATAAGTAAAATTAAATAATAATAAAATTATTTGAAAAGAAAAAAATTAGCCAGGCAGAACTGGAGAGCTTAAAGATGCAAGATGAAATAACTGGAGGAGTAAGAACCTTTCCTGAATGAAAAAATAGACTGGAGGTCAAAATTCCTATTTTGGAGGGAAAGCAACAATAAAGTGAAGCAGACAGTGAAAGCCCGAGGTTGAGGGTGGGAAGTGAAAGCAGGAAGCTTTAACAGGTCACCTCGAGGCGATGAGCCCGCATCCCACAGAGTGGGCAGTCACAAGGAGCTATTCCTGGTCTCCAGAATGTGTCTGCTCTCACCGCCAGAACCAGTCTTCTGCAGTTTAAGAGAAACTGGGAGAAGACCTTGGTGATGAACTCAGGTAAATGACAGGCTTCTCTGATGTCCAAGGTGTTCTGGAATTGGTCCTGCAATTGTTTCCGACTGCCAAGTTTGGTGGTGACCTAAAGCAGCCCTGGAAGGAGAATGCTGAGGAGGTGAGAGACTGGGGGACAAGAAAGTGCGTTGTCAGGATCTAACTTGTATTCACTGTGCTGTGATGGGCCTTCTTTCTTTTGCTGGGCTCATTTATCTGGTCCTCTGGGGCAGCTTTTATTCATCCAGCAAACATTTATTGAGCACCTCTGTTACATCAGATCTGATGCTGGGTGCCAAGGACACAGGAGTGACCAAGACAGACATTATCTGTGTCCCCACCAAGTTTGTCATCAATGGGAAACTGAACTCTGGTGACAATTCCAAGAAGCTGATTAAAAGTCAGGTCATGGGGCCAAGCAGATGGCATAGCAGTTGGACATAGCCAACTACGGTTTGAGTCCCGGACCAGGGAGCTTGAAAACTACACCAGGTGCGTGTGCCTGCATGCCCAAGATCCCAGGAGTAGAATGGAGAAGAAAGGATTGTGGCATGGTCATCTTTCCTGGGGGTGGAGGCTTGGTTTTCTCACTTTTCCTGTCTGTCTGTCTGTCTGTCTGTCTCTCTCCAGGGAGTGCGCACACCCAAAGGCAAAAACCTCTTCAAAAAAAGGTCACTAAGCAGTTAAGAAAGCCCAGAAGTGGAGAAGGGAAACACTGCAAGGGATGGTCCATAGGTTTTTGAGTTAACCTATGAATGAATGAAAGCAGTAATGGAAAGAGGTTATTATTAAAGAGATGCATCATAAAGCCTTGAGATCTAGTCAATAACTTTTTTATGAATGGTTTTTTATCATTTCTTTAAAAAATTGTTATAGAGCATGCATGCCCACCAGAGAGAGAGAAAGTGAGATAGCAAGGTCTTCAGCCTTCTACACCAACAATCTAGAGACCCTCAGCCTGCCTCTGCCTTTGTTGGGTCATCCACAAAACGGGAACCATACTACCGTTAGCATTTATTGAATACTTAATCTGTGCATCCTACCAAGAGAAGACCTCAGAAGTATTGGAGGATTAAACCAGATCATCTGTGTAAACCACTTAAGAAGTCCTTGATACTTATTGGACCTCTATTCACGTTAGCGGAACATTTCCCAGATTGGGTCTTTTTTTTTTTTTTTTCCTTTAATTCTTATTTTTTTAACTTTATTTAAATTTGACCAGAGAGGGACAGAAAGAGAGAAAGAAAGTAAGCAGCCAGATTCAGGACCAGAACCACAGTTAACCACGAGGGAGTCCAGCGCCCTTACCACTCCACCTGCCTGCCCCCAGACTGGGTCTTACTGTGGGAGGTAACAGAAAAATAAAAAGGCGATCCAGGCAGAGTGTGGAAACGCCTTCATCAAAGCGTGGCGTGGCGTGGCATGGTGTGTGAGCTCAGATTCTGAAGTAGTGTAGATCTGGATGCCTCGCTGGTCCCGTCACCAGCTGGATGACCCTCAGCCCTCATTTGTAAGCGCTTCTTCAAATCCATTTTTGCCGCAGTTTGGTACAAGGGGCTCATTGGGTGCGCAATAAATGCCGATTTCCCTTGGACATCTCTCTGATCACCGCCGGCCGACAGCAGGCGACGGGAGCCGGGGGAGCGGCAGTGGACCAGACAGCGCTCTGAGTTCGGGTGTTAATGGACCTTTTCTTCCGGATGGAAAAACTGAGGCGCACAGCGGCTAAGTAACTCACAGGCGCTCGCCAAGCTTATGTAAACTAGGAGAAGCACATTAAACTCTAGCGAGGAGCTGGAGTTTAACCTTCAGAGCCCCAAACGCCCGCTACCAGGGGCGGGATCAAATGAGGGAAGTCCCGCCTCCGAGTGCGAGAAGTCCCGCCCCGTCCTGCAGGTTTCCGCTTCCGCTCTTGCCAGCGCTGTCTCCTTGGTGGGGTGGTGAGATCAGGATGGCGGCGGGAGGTGACAGTGGCGGTCCCGACAGCTACCGCTCACCTCTCGCCTCCCGCTATGCCAGCCCGGAGATGTGCTTCGTGTTTAGCGACAGGTACAAGTTCCGGACGTGGCGGCAGC